GTGGGAGGAGCTGCAGACAGGCAGAGCCGGCCCGAGGCTCTGGGCCACATCGAGGCGTGTGAGAAGCCTCCGCGGTGCACAAGGGAGGGCTCAGCCGAATGACGGCAGGAGAGAGCCCACTCCGGCCGCAGAGCCGCAGGGCAAAGGGCCGGCAGGTAACCCAGCTTACCAGCGTCCTGGTCGGGTGGTGGGGCTGCCACAGGGGGCCGGGGGCCGAGGAATGTCCCGGACCCTCCACACTGCGGCCACACTGAGCAGACACTCCTTGCCCCCAGGCCTCTCGCATCCCTGTGGGCATCCTCGTGCCCGCCCTCCGCCCGGTGGGATCCCAGGACACGAGGCCGGAAGGCTGGGCTCCCGGCTGATGCTTTGGCCTCGCTGTCACTCCGGCAGGCAGACCCGCGCCAGGAAGCAGGAGGCGGCCACGAGGGCTTCCCCCAGCTCCTGGGCGACTTCGAGCGGTGGCTGCAGGTGGAGAATGCCAAGCTGGTGAGAGTCATCGCCATGAGAACCGCCACGGCCGAGGCCGCCAGGGCCAGAGAGGTGAAGCTGCAGGTGCGTGCCAGGAAAGGCCCCTTTCCGAGGGGCTGCACCATGGATGGTTTAAAAAAAATTCCCATTGATTGCAGAGGAAGGGAGAGAGAAACATCAGTGATGAGAGAGAACCATGGATCGGCTGCCTCTTGCACGCCCCCTACTGGGAATGGAGCCGAAACCTGGACACGTGCCCTGACCAGGAATCAAACCGTGATTTCCTGGTTCACAGGTTGACGCTCCCCTCGGAGCCGCGCCAGCCGGGCCGGCAGTGTTTGCCACGACGGAGCTCTTCCTTTTTTTCCCACCGAGATTACTTACTTATTTATTTTTGTGAAGCCTCCCCCCAGGGCATTTTTCTACCAACTTTTCGAGAAAGAGGTAAGGAGAGGGAGAGACAGAGAGAAACACTGATGTGAGAGAGACACGTCGATTGGTGGCCTCCGCACGCGCTCTCCGACCAGGGCCAGGGATCAAGCCTGCAACCAAGGTATATGCCCTCGACTGGAATCGAGCCCGGGACCCTTCCGTCCACAGGCGATCGGCTCTCCCCTGAGCCAAACCAGCAAGGGCCCTAGGGAGCTCTTCAAAACAAGGAGCACATACCTCGTCGTGAGCTGTCCTTGCTTGTGCGTGCGTAATGGTCGTTGAGCTTGTCTGGCTGAAGCATTTTAGGAGAAGCATTCATCCTCTGTTCAGCCTGCCCCGTCCTCCCCGGCTGGGGAAACACGGGGTCACCAGCTGTACGTGCAGAGCCTCCCGCAGTCGGTGGCTCCACGCCCCAGTCGCCGCTGCGGGGTCACCTGCTGTACGTGCAGAGCCTCCCGCAGTCGGTGGCTCCACACAGCAGCTCCATTTCGCTCCTGGCTCTGAGGGCTGGTGATTTGGGCCGGGCTCGGCTGGCAGTCTCCCACCACAGATCTTTCTCTTTCGCTCCCGCGTGGAGTTAGCCGCCACGCCTTCCTTGGTTCCTGGGGATTTTTTGCTTCTGTCCCTCTCACGTCCCCTGTCTAATCTGGGCACTTACCTTTTGGGCCTGAATTACGGAGCCTTGGGGAGTCCCCGTGGAAGAGGGACTGGTCTCGGGGCCTCCGCCACTGCAGGGCCGGGACTCTGACCTTTTCCTCCATGGCCCCGAGGGGCTGCCCGCAGCCTGCGCTTTCCCCACGGTCCCTCCAGCCTGGCCAGCGGCCTGTTGGCAAAGCAGCCTGCATGCTGGGCTGGCTTCCCTGGTCTTATCCTTGGCCTGGTTGTAGCCCCATGTGCTTCTTGCTGACTCTTTAGTGCCTTTATTTTAACTTTTTTGTCATCAAACCTCTCATTTCTGTCATTTTTTTCCTGCACCGTCCTGCGCCTGAAATGCCTTTCAGATGTTTTGAATATGCGGCCCTCTTCCCTAGTTGTGAGGTTTGGTCCAATGACCTGGCTGACCATGGCAGGCAGTCCTTCCTGCCCACCCCTTCCTCCTGCTCGGTCACTCCTCTCTCTTCCTGCTGCCCCCCACCCCCACCCCAGTTTCATCCAGATCAGAGATGGCCTGGGGTTCCCCCGGTGAACCCTCCTTGTCTGTGGAGAGCTCACATCCTCGGGGCTCCAAGAAGCTAGGCAGCTCACCCACAAAGCGCAGCTGGTAGGATGGGGCCGAGCCAGATGCGGACCCCGGCTCCTGGGATTCCTGCCCGGAGCCCACATTCACACCGCTTCCCAGGAATCCCGAGGACCGAAGGGGCCACCCTGCAGGACACAGCGCTAAATTTTGGGAGGAAAATCCCTATTTGGACATCACTCTGCCGGGCCTGGGCTGAAGGAAGGTGGTCAACAGTGGCAGCTTTGATGGTGGTGACTCAAATGTGAGGGCTGGAGTGACCGGGAGGCCAGCAGGGCTGACCCTGTCCTGCAGGCGCCTGTTCTGCTACGAGGCAGACAGCGATGGCCCGGCCTTGGCCCGCTTTCCCCAATAGGATTCTCATTCAATGGCTCTGTCAGCTCAAGTGGAATGCGATTGGCTGCTCCTTGCCAGCCAGGTGAGCGTCTGGGCCATTGGAAGGTGCCCTTGACGTGGTCCTTTCCCCGCAGGAGCTGGAGGCTCGGGTCCCCGAAGGCCAGCATCTCTTCGAGGACCTCCTTCGTCTGGGGCCAGCGAGGGGCGCCTCGGAGGAGCTGGAGGACCTGCGCTACCGCTGGATGCTCTACAAGTCCAAGCTCAAGGACTCTGGGCAGCTGCTGGTGGGTGCGGGCGGGCAGGTCCCAGCCTGGGGGTGGGACGGAGGCTGAGCCACGCTCACCTGGGAAACCTGGGCCACATCCACCCGCCCTGTGCCTCCAGGGACCAGACTAGGGGCCTTGCGGTGGGAGGGAGGGAGGGAGGGAGACTCCCAGGTCCCGGGTGCTGGATGGCAGATGTCATTCATTCACCCTGTGAGGCCACCCTGTGAGGCCACCCTGTGAGGCCGGCTCCAGTGACAGCAGCCGTGACCGTGACCTCACAGTTAAGGTCTGAGAGCTGCAACCTTTACGACAGCGGTTCTCAACCTTGGCTGCACGTTAGAATCCCCTGGGAATCTTTTTAAAATCCTGATTTCTGGGCCTCATCCTCCAGAAATTCTGTTTCTTTGTGACTAATGTTGTGGCCCCACCCCATAACAAAGAAACAGAGTTTCCGGAGGATGAGGCCCAGAAATCAGGATTTTAAAAAGATTCCCAGGTGATTCTAAATGATCTACTGATGCTTTTAGATCAGTGGTTCTCAACCTTGGCTGCACATTAGAATCCCTGGGAATCTTTTTAAAATCCTGATTTCTGGGCGTCATCCTCCAGAAATTCTGTTTCTTTGTGACTAATGTTGTGGCCCCACCCCATAACAAAGAAACAGAGTTTCCGGAGGATGAGGCCCCCAGAAATCGATTTTAAAAAAGATTCCCAGGTGATTCTAACGTGCAGCCAAGGTTGAGAACCACTGCTTTCTGCCATCATCCCATCAGTCCTCCCAGCAGCCTCTGCCCAGGGAATTGTGTCTCCAGCCCCCCGAGGGGCACTGAGACCCTGAGAATTCACACTGGCCCGCAGTCCCGGGGCCTGTGAGCGCAGAGCCGCACTAGCACACACCAGCGGGGGAGGCCTGGGCCCAGCCCGCGCGGCACCACCCGCCCTGGGACCCCTGGGACTCCGAGCGAGCATCTTCCCGATGCAGCCCTGCATCTCCTCTCCAGGAGCACTAATAGCTTCACCAGAGCCTTGACGACGTGCGATGTCTCGCAGCAGCCCTATGGGGGAGGGCGGCTAGGATTCCCTGAGCACCCGCGGTGGGAAACGGAGGCTTGGAGCTGAGCTGAGCTGAGCTGAGCTGAGCAGGGGGCGGTTGAGGTGTTTCTGAGGGTCCCGGCCGCCCTCAGACCCCGGACCCCACCTCTGACGCGCCCCCTTTGCTGGCCCCACAGTGGCTGAATCGGCCACTAGGTGTCAGCCCAGCCCCAGCCCGTGGCCCCGCCGCCAGCCTAGCCCAGGCGTCCCAGACAGCGTCCCACCTGGGCCCGGAGTGCGTTAAAAAGCTCATTAAATCGAATCACCTGCTGGCTCAGCCTGTCCAGATGACCAGAAGTTTTAAAGAAACGCTCCCCTGACAAAATGAATATTCCATTATGGGCTCTGCTGGGATTTAAGTTTCACTCACTTAACTTTTTTTCCCTTTTCCTCTCCTTCCCTAAAATAACAGACGCAGAGTTCTGCAGGGCAGCCCGCTGGATTCCAGAAGGTATGGCGCCCGCCATCTGCTCCCC